GTATTTATAAAATATTGTTGTTTGGCAAGTTTTTATTATTAAAGAGATATATTTTATTCATTATTTCTAGCTTTTTTTCTTTTATCCCTTGTTTACATATGTTTAACTCTATAGGATTCTATGATAGAAATAGTTCAACAAGAATATTTTTGTTATGAAAATCATATGTGCAAAATAATTACTCTAATTGCATGATCAACTACATAGGGTTCTAGTGTATAAATTTTTCTATCATGTTTGAGTGTCTTTCTTCCACTATTTGGATAATAAATTATAGGGAAAGCCACTAAAAGAAAACTTATACCTGTAAACCTAGTAACTATGAAAAAAGTGACTTCAATGACACACTTAGGTGTAACCAAAATTAGTAAAACCATGGAGTGCAGAGGTAGAAGTTAAGAAGCAGCAGCAGAAAAGAGCTGTAACTGAATTACAAAGTTATCAAGGGAATGCATATGAAAATGATTCAAAATAGACAGTGCCATATATGCTGTTTCTCACTTCTGATGACTTGGAAGCACAGGAAAGAGCTGACAGAGGCCACCAGCAATTACTTGTTTGATTCTGTTGTACCTGCCTCATTAAACTAGTAACAGAAATTCATGGTAGTTGCAGCTAGAAATCAATTCTTCTGCTGTTTCATTTTAAACACCTACTGGCTAAAGAGCCAGTATTAAATTACACTATAGCTTGATTTTTCACTGCACTTAGCAGATTTTTGAATCAAAATTTTGCTGATACAATTAGATATTTAATTTACTTCTATATTCTGAAATGTTAGGGTTTGGAAACAATCTGGTCCCCATTTTGGGTACTTCTTTAAGTCTTCACATTTTGTAGTTCGGGATGTGACTTTTTTTCTCCCACAGTTTAGGTATTATTTGGGTAATGAAAGCTAAACAGAGAACTAAACTTTATAGGTAATTGATACCCAAGAATAATTATTTGACCACAAGGGATTTATTTTCTATAGTGCTTAAATAACATTTATGTTAACCTTATATGTTTAAGTATTCTTGACCTTGTATGTTTAAGTATTTTGATTATTACATTATGGCTTTCATAATCTGTGGTTACAGACCACTGATTCTATTTTCCTGCGTTGCACCTGAGCATCTGACATCACATGCAGTCATAGCATATTGGAGCTGGACAGGTTCATCTCTTCTAACACTCTCATATAAAAAATGAGCAACCTGAGAGAGACACATTTACATAACTTTCTCAGCGTTACAGACTTAATTATAAATTTATAGTGTTAGTATCCCTCTTTAGACAGAATTTTGTTTCTGAATACATGGCACCACCATTTACAGAGATGCGCAAACTACATAGTATCTCTAGTTCTGAAGAAAACGACATGTACACTTGGATGTTTAAAGGCATATGAACAACATGGGTGATCAAAAATTATTTACCCTTCCTTCCCCCTTTTTTTTACCCATCTAAGGGTACTATTATCAACTGAATTACTGGGCGAAAAAATTAGGGAGGGATTTCTTTCTTGAATATCTACATCTAATTCAACAGCAAATTCTTCCTTGCTTATCTCAAAAACAATCCTAAATATATTTCCTAGATCTTCATTCATTAGAAGCACACTTGTCTAAATGATCTCTTACTGTCTGAATTGCTACAACAGGATTCTCTTCGCCTTGCTGCTTAAAATAGTATTATGCCATTTCGTATGCATGCCACTGTTTAATATGGCATAGCTATCCTGTCTTTCTCTCCAAAATCATTCCTCCTCCTTCCTTCTTGCTCACTACTTCCCAGAAAAGAGTATTTTTTAAAAAAAAGATAATAGGCTTATTCTTTTATTATAGTATCTGCACTGGATTTTTTCTTTGGTCTGGAATATTCCAGTTCTAGTTTTTCTTGTGGATAGCTCCTTTTTATAGATGTCAACTTAATTCTTACTCTTCAAGATGTTCCTTAGTCATTTCTAAGTAAAAATATTCTTTAGCCACTCTATCACATCATGGCGTTTTATTTTCCTCAAAGTACACATCACTTTATATCACTTCATTCATTTGTCTTTCCCACTAGACTGTAAGCTTCACAAGAGCAGAGCCCATGTCCATTATGTTCAACAGACTATCCTCATCTACTAGAACAGTGCCCAGGATATGGTAATAACTCATGAATATTCACCAAATGAACAGGTCCTTAAAATTTCCTTCTACTCCAACCCCACATTACAACTTTCACTGTCATGTTGATATTAATTTATAAATATCTTCTGAATTTATTACTTATTTCCATCTTGTGTGTCACCTTGTGGGACTAAATAACCATTAACCTCTTAACTAAGGATTTAGAGTCAAACACAGACTTCTACCTGCATTTCTAGTATCATCTTTATTCCTCTCTAATTTATTAACCAACTTCAGAAAGGATAATCCTTTCAAAACTATAATGGAAATGGATTAAAGAACTAGACATAAGACCTGAAACCATAAAATATATAGAATAGAGGCGAAACACCGCATGACATGCACCTCAGTAACATCTTTACAGACACATCACCCAAAGCAGTGATAGTGAAGGCAAAGATAAAGAGCCGGGACTACATCAAATTAAAAAGCTTCTGTACAGCAAAATAGACAGTAACCAAAACAAAGAGACACCCCACCGATTGGGAGAAAATTTTTGCACACAACACTAGTGATAAAGGACTGATCACAAAAATCTACAAAGAGCTGACGAGACTCAACAAAAACAAAGTAAATAACCCAGTCAAAAAATGGGCAGAAGAGCTGAAAAGAAACTTCTCCAAAGAAGAAATGCAAATGGTCAACAGAATATGAAAAAATGTTCAACATCACTTGTAATCAAGGAAATGCAACTAAAAAATATAATGAGATACCAGTGAGAATGGCACATATTAAAAAAACCAGCAACAACAAATGTTGGTGGGGATGCAGAGAAAAACGAACTCTCCTGCACTGCTGGTGGGAATGCAAAATGGTCCAACCACTGTGGAAAGCTGTGTGGAGATTTCTTGACCTACTAGAGATAGAGCTTCCATATGATCCAGGAACTCCACTCCTAGGCATTTACCCAAAGGACACAGAAACATTAATTCAAAAGGGCACCTACAACCCTATGTTTACAGCACTATTTACAATAGGTAAGCTCTGTAAACAACCCAAATGCCCCCAAATAGATGACTGGATCAAGATGTGTCTCACATACACAACGGAATATTACTCAGCCTTCAAAAAAGAAACTCATGCAATTTGCAGCAACATGGATGGAGCTGGAAGGGATCATGTTCAGCGAAATAAGCCAGAAAGAAAAAGAAAACATATTGGATGGTCCCACTCATAGCAGGAATTTAGAAAACCTAAATAAGGGACCAGGAAAAAGACTAATTATAGTAAAGCAAAAATCAAAATCAACAAGCAACTATAAACCAGAGACACACTACAGGTGGGGGAGAAGGGAGTAAGATCAAAACAAGGGAGGTGGGAATTATATGGGGAGTATAACCAAGATGAAATTGCATACATTCTGCAAAAATGAAAAATGATGTAAAAATATATAAAATAAAATTGAAATAAGAAAAAGAATTAGTGAAAGAATATATTTAAGATAAAGTTGTAAAATGAGACAGCAATACTATAAAAAAAAAGTAGGGGGGAATAAAATGTAAATCTTTAAAGAAATCTAAAAAAAAAACTGTAATAGGATTATGTTGCCCTCCTACCTGGTAGTATGGTTTGGGTCAATGGCTTTCTATTATTCTTAAATAAAGATAAAAATTGTTAGTATGAGCTATAACACCATGGGTTGTCTTACTCCTATATTCTCCAGTCTCATCTCACTATTTCTCCTACATGTTCCCAGTTCTGGCCACTCAGGTTTACATTTAATTACTCATTCTATTTAGCTTTTTGCCTACCATGTTTGTCCATCTGCCTGGCACACTCTTCTTACTCCTGTTTACATACTTATATTTCAGATCTCAATCAAGTATAAAGTACTTTAGAAACATTTTCTTTAACTTACAGTCAAGATCAGATTCTCAGTGTTAGTAGGAACACTTGAGGAAAAAAAAAAGGTAAAGAAAAGGCAAACCAGATGAGATTCCTATATCCATCCCAGGCTTTTTGGATCAATATCAAGGAATGGACTTCAGTCATTCATATTTTCTAAATACTCTCTGGGACCTTCCTGGTGGTGCAAGTTAAGTCTCCATAGCCAGTGCAGCACAATTTCAATCCCCAGCCAGGGAGCTGACCCACATGGCACAGCAGACCTTTCCTGTCTCGCCCGCTGTTCTCTACAGCAGTGTATTTCAGTCAATCTGCTTTTTCTGCTCCCCACTCTGTCTCTGGTGAATCCTCTCACCACATGACACCTCTGGCCTATAACCCCATTCTTGTATGCATAAATAATCTTTAAAAAATTTTAAATAACCTCTGTGCTTCTGATATGAGACTTACATAACTCTGACTCTATAAAAACATCCAACTACTGTTTAAAATACTACAGGGATTGAGAATAAACTGCTTCCCAAGGGTGAATATTGTATTCCATTTTCCCCCTACTTCCCTCCAATTTAAGCTCATTCTATATCTGTGACACAAATAACAGAATACAATTTAATGAAGCTCAGGAATGATTTGCTCAGGAATGAAACCTCAGAATACAATTCAATGAAGCTCAGGAATGAAACCTCATTTCACACTTTTGACTCAATAATAAGTTTTGTTTCCATATAGTACCTAACCTTTTGCTCTTCACTGCTACTGATGCTAAGCAATGTGTCCCTCCATAATGCACATGGACAGTTTTCTTTTGTGTGTTTGTTTTACCTATGTATAATGTTCTTTATTCTATAAGATCTGATTTTATTCAATTCCTCCTGGTCTACACTGACAAAATCCTTGGGATCCCAGCTTGCTATGCTTCTGTTTCATCTCATCTACTAATTAAGGAATAACTGTGACTTTATGAAGTCAAGAATGAAAATGTTGAGCAAGAAGGCTATAGATCATAGACCTTTATTATGCCACTGAACATATATATTTTAAATTCTTTCCATATTATCACACAGTTAGAAATTCACCTAATTACAATAAAATCTGTGTCAATCTGTACCATTTAATAAACGTAGGCAATATTAGTAACTTTTCCAATTTTTTTGATGACTATTCAGTGTCTTACTCTGTTTCTGCTGCTATAAGAAAAATACCACACACTGGGTAGCTTATAAAGAACAGTATTTCTCACAATTCTGGAAACTGGAAAGTCCAAGATTTAGGATGCCAGCAGGTTATGTGGCTGGTGAAAATCCCCTTTGAGGTTGCAGATTGCTGACTTTTCCCTCTGACCTGATATGGTAGACAAGGAAAGGAATTTCACTTGAGCCTCTTTCATAAAAGCATGAATCTTTTTTATGAGTGATCTGCCCAAATGATCTAATCACCTCCCAAAGGTCCCACCTAGTACTATATAACAGTGCATTAGCATTTCAACATATAAATGTTGGGAACACACAAACATTTAGCTATAGTACCTGGTATATTTTAATTTACATAAAGTTTCTTTTAAAACAGTTCTATGCAAAAATAAATAAAATCTTAAAGAAACAATAATAGCAATAATAGTAATAATGGAGTCACAGGGGAGTGCGTCTCCACATCGCCATCTTAGAACAGGGACCTTTCTTCAATAAAGACTGCTTGAAACTGGCAGAAGGCTCCCCGCGGAGCCAGAGGGGGGAGGTTGCCTTTGCTTTTGGTGTCAAATCTAAATAACCACTACCAAGATCAATGTCTAGATAATTATCGTTTTTTTTTTTCCCTAGGAGTTTAATAGTTTCAGATTTTACATTCAAGTCATTAATCCATTTTAAATATTTTTGAGTATGCCATAAGATAGTGGACCGCTTTTATTCTTTTACAAGTGCTTATCCAGTTGTTCCAGCACCACTGACTGAAGAGACAGTATCATTTCTCCCTTTGTATATTCTTGGCTCCTTTGTTGTAAATTAATTGACCATACACACATGGGTTTACTGTTGGGCTCTCTATTCATTCCACTTATCTATGAGGTCTGTTTTTAGGCCAGTAACATATTGTTTTCATAACTTTTAGTATAGTCTAAAATCAGGAAGTGTGCGCCTCTTGCTTTGTTCTGAAGACTGCTTTTATTTAGGGTTTGTTATAGTTCCATACAAATTATAGGTTTATTCTATTTTTGTGAAAAATGAATTTGGAGTTTTGATAGGGATCACTCTGAATTTCTAGGTTAATTCAAGTGTTATGAACATTTTAACAATGTTAGTTTTTCCTATTCATGGGCCTGGAATACTTTTCCAATAATTTGCGTCTTCTTCAATTATTGTCATCAATGTCATAAAGTTTTCAGTGCACAGATCTTTTATCTCCTTGGTTATTCCCAGATATTTTATTCTTTCTGGTGCCACTGCAAATTGAATTATTTCTTAATTTCTCTAATAATTCATTGTTAGTGTACAGAAACACAATGAAACTGATTTATGCATATTGGTTTTATATCTTGCAACTTTACTGAATTCATGTATTGGTACTGTTTTTGGTGAGACCTTTGAGTCTTCTATATAGCTTGTTACCTTAATGGGCCTCCCTGGTGGTACATTTCATCTAGGCTGTGAAGCTGTCCACAGCCTCTGCAGTGCCAGTTCGATTCCCAGCTGGCCAGGGAGATACCCATATGGTGTAGCAGACCTCTCCTGTCTCACCCGCTGCTCCCTTCAGCAGTGTTTTCAGTCAGTCTGCTGTTCTGCGTCCCGCTCTATCTCTGGTGAATCCTCTCACCCTCTTGCGCCTCTGGCCTGTACCCCATTTCTTGTATAAATAAATCTTTTAAAAAAATAAAGACAGGTTTACTTTTTCCATTCTGATTTGGAAATATTTTATTTCTTTTTCTTGCCTAATTGTTCTGGCTAGGACTTCTAGTACTATGTTGAATAAAAGTGGTAAGAGTGGACATCTCTGTCTTATCCCTGATCTTAAAGGAAAAGCTTTCAGATTTTCACTGCTGGGTATGTTAACTGTGGACTTCTGATATTGGGTCATTATTGTGTTGAGATACGTTCCTTCTATATCCATTTTATTGAGAGTTTTATCATAAACAGATGTTGAATTTTCATGAATGCCTTTTTGGTATATGAGTAATCACATGATTTTTTCTTTCACTTGGTTAATGCGGTGTACCATATTGATTGATTTGTGATAGTTGAACCATGCTCACATTCTTAGAATAAAACCCATTTGACCATAATGTACAATCCTTTTAATGTGCTGGTGATTTTGATTTGCTAATATTTGCTGCAGATTTTTGCATCTATGTTCATTAGGGATAATAGCCTATAATTTTCTGCTTTGTGTGTGGTGTTCTTATCTGGTTTTGATATCAAGGAAATACTGTTCTTGTAAAACGAGTTTAAAAGACTTTGAGAATGACAGATACTAATTCTCGAAATTTCTGGCAGAATTGGTGCTGCCATCTGATCCTAGAGTTTTCTTTATTGGAAGGATTTCAGTTACTGATTCAAACTTTACTAGGAATTGTGATGTTCAACCTTTCTTCATGATTCAGTCTTGGTAGGTTGTATGTTTCTAAGAATGTATTCATTTCATCTAGACTGTCAAATGTGTTGATGTATAATTACACAGTGGCTTCTTACGATCCTTTGTATTTGTGAGATATCAGTTGCAAGGTTTCATTTTTCATTTCTAAAAGTATTTGAGTTTTCTCTTTTTTCTTGCTAAGTCCAGCTTGGTATATATTCTTTATCATGACCCCTAAATGGGCTGACATCCTTTTTGAGGGTAAATTTGAAGAAAGGATTTTAAATTCCTTTTTAAAATCTCTACTAGCACAATTAGTTCCATTAGAGCTGCATTATTTATCTGCTGGTGTTCTTAAGATATTGCTCACCTCCCCTTTTGAATTTTGCATGTCATAGCTACTTTGATGTAAATGATCTTTTAAAAGGATATAAAGTGCTACTTAAGTGTTGTTTTAGCATAGGGAGAATCTAAGTCCTATATTCATTCACTAAAAATGAGAGTTTTGGAGTGGGTTGCTCAAAACTCTTTGGCACTGTTTTACTGGGACAATTTAGGTGCCAATTTCATAACAGATACCTTGGTAAATACTTTATCACTACTATTATCTCCTTTTTCCCTTCTTATGTGGAGGTGTGAGACTCAATTCTCTAAAAGTAAAGGTTGTTCTGCGTAGTCAATTCTGATCTAGTTATCAGGCCTTTCATCATTATCAAAGGCTGAATTCTTTTAATTGTGCTCAAGTCCTGTGTTGGGTATGTGAAACAGGCAGAAAGCAATTTTCTGCTGCGTTAAGCAAGGTAGTAAACTCAAAGAGGGCAGTTTACTTATAAAGGCTTATGTGATTGCAAATCAATGTAAACAACTTACTTCAAAGGTCTCTGCTCAGACGGACATTTAAAGTTGAAACGTGCTTTAATAATGCCCTCAATGTTAATATAAAATTATTATATAGAAATATAACAATAAAATTTATTATCTAATAAAAAAAAAGAAAAAAAAAAGAAAATAAAATTATTATATAGATACTACACATTTTCACACATTATAATTACTACAGTAATGGGAGAAATTTCCAGAGCCACTAAAATATTTTGCCTGATGTGTAAGGAAAAAAAACAACTGATTTCTTATTACTTAAAATTACATACAAAATCTATGAAAGACCCTTTTTTTATTGTGCAATATAAGTAGTTGCACTGAAAGTTTACAGAAGCTGTCTGTGATTTGCATTTTTAAACAATGCAGGGAAATTATGTTTTTACCTCAATGTCTATGCATTAATTTTGAAACAGTATTAATGTAAAATAATTGTAAGGATGAATTTTTGTGATACCTTTATGTGTATCTAAGGTAGGAATATTTACATCAAATGATTATCTAAATCAGAAAGAATATAACAATTTATAAACAGTACAGTTAGACAATAAGATATTAGAAAATCACTCTTCCTTTTTTATTACTATAGGAAACTACATTTAATGTGGGAAAGAATTTTAAAAAAGGTACTTAATATCACTCTAATTTTCTTCTTATTAACTTACTTTAAGATTATCTTAAATGATATGTATGAACTTTTTGTATTCTGAAGGGTATATACTAAAGGCCTGTTTCTGCAAATAGAAAGTCCAGATTCCACCATAGGGCGTTTTATATACTTAGATCAAAAATACATATTTTGATGTTTATTTTTCAAAATTACCTTCCAAATTAAAGTATTTTAAATAGCCAGTTTCTCAACAGAATTTAAAGAGGCACCTACATTACAGGTTAAGATAAAATTACACATGAATAATTATATGAATCTGTTCAATTAAATAGTTTCAGATAGGAAGGGAAAACTTGTATTTTAGAAAGTATCACTGACTGAAGCAGACATTAAAATGACCTTTTTTTAAAGAGTAATCAGACTGTTAATAAAGGTTTCACCCACCTACAGGTTAGTCTTTGACCCTAACACTTAATCATGCCACAGGAGTTGTATTTATCTAGAATTATACTACAATAACATTTGCCATCTTGAGTACATATTAAATATTAATTAAAAACTACTTCAAGCTACTAATAAGCCATTATTATGAAGCCTACAAAGAGTATGTCAAAAAGGCGTAGAATGCACAATTCTCCTCACAGACTTCAGTCAAAAGTCCACAAATGTGTTCATTATTGACTAATAATACATGCTAATATGTTAACACTTTCAGTTTCTTGTATATACCCTTGAGATAGTGACTCAGTAATTTAAAATCTACAAACTGCACTTACCTTGGAACCAACAAAGCTGTGGTTTGTTTAAATGGTGTCTAAAACACCATGCGAACCTGAAATCAGTCTTGGGTATGACTTTTGTCTGCCCTAAAAAACTGTGTCTTAACATATGTGCTCAAATTCTTGTGTAAATATTCACCTTAAAATCAATAACTTATATTCTAAAATATTCATCTTGTTTGCAAAACTGCATTCCCTAACTTTCCATGAAGAACTTGGATATTCGCCCTTAGGAATCTGTGAAAATTGCACTTCTATAAATGGCAGGTGTGACTCTCTTTTTCAGTTTGTGCGAAAAACAGAGATGTAGGTACAGTTACTTTGCCACAGACCTATTTTCTCTCATTGTATTTTCTTATTTTAAAAAATCAGCCATGCACATTTTTAAATTTTCAGTCATTATATTGATCTGTTACTTCTGACTACATTGAGAAAAATTTTCATAGTCCAAGTTTTATGAAATTTTACTCTTCATGCAGACTGTAATAACCAAGAGACACGTTCTCAAT